AACGCTCCGGCGTTTGGGTTCTCTTGCGTTTGGAACCTTCCACTTGGCTCTCATGCTGGACATGAGTCCGGCCTTCCCCTCTGATGGCTTCTGCCACTGGCAACCCTGAAGGGGCTACAGGAAACTCCTCTCTGTCTCATTTCTGCAGTGCTTCCAGAAGCAACCTATGCTATTCTGGGTCAGAGCAGAGAGTGTTCCAAAGGGAGCATCTAGAAGATAAGATGATGGAATCTGGGGCTGGAGTGATAGCACAGCGGGTAGGGCATTTGCCCTGCACGTGGCCGATCCAGGTTCGATTTCCAGCATCCCATATGGTCCCCCGAGCACTGCCAGGAGTAACTCCTGAGTGCATGAGCCAGGAGTAGCCCCTGTGCATTGCTGGGTGTGACCCAGAAAGAAAAAAAAAAGATAACAAAATCTTACTGTCCTCGGACCCGGTCCTCCTGATATATCAGCACAGAGGTCTGCACTGGCTCTTGGCCTGTCTTCATTGACTCAGTCGAGGCAGAAAGGAATGAGGCTAGCTAGTTTGCTTAGGGATCAGCTCTATCAGTGAGAGGAGAGAGGTCACAGTAGCAGTTCAAGAGCAGGAATATTGAACTCTCTGCAAAAAGCAGCAATGTCTCGCTCTCTCTGGAAAGCCTTCGGGATTTCTGGCCTAGAGTTCTCTGCTATAGCACCTTGGCGTGGCTTTTAGAGCATGAAAACGATCACAAGGAAGATATCAATGTGGTCATTCTCTAAGGACCCCTCTTTTCCAAAATTGGCAAATGGACTAGAGTGGCCTGTGGGTCAGCCCCTAGTCAGGCTCCCAGAGATCTGCCACAGAACTGTGTCCCTCTGCCCACCCCAGAAAAGAGCGGGGGTCTTCTGCAAGCTGGACTGTTGCACATCAGTACTCATAGCCAAGACTTTATGTAATAAACTGGTTTGTCAGAGGGGGGAAAAGAAATTGCCTTTCCGTAACTGACTTCTTGGGAGATAATCCAAATAGAATTAATTGCTTATCGTGTTCCCTGTACTGATTATAAAATAATCAGGAGCATAGCTGTTAATAAAAGGTTTATATAGAACGTAGTCCTATAGTTTATATAGAACTTAGTCCTAATAAGCGTCTCCCCACACAAGGAGTTATTTTTCCTCTCTCTTTGACTTTCCAACAAACTTTTCTATTTTCTAAAAAAAATTAAAAATCAAATGCTCTTATATGTGTAGACATATAAGTGTGTGTATATGCTTTCCCTATCAAGATAAAGGTGGGAAATCAAATCCCACATTCAAAAGATCACTTCAAAGCACTTTTCTATATATTCCCTATCTACCCGCCAACTCAGGCTTGTCTCTCATTTCTGGAGATGACCAGTCCCTCGGTCACCTCCTAAAGTAAATACTGATATGCTGTCTGTTTTATCTTCCCCAGCATAATTTCCTCTTTGGAAAATAAAAAAGCCCCATGTTTTATATTAAGTCTCCTACCGAAGGAAGTATTCGTATTCATCGTTGTCCTTCTGATTGAAGTTTAAGCCAAGAACAGTTACATCAGCCAAGTGGGTGTATGGAAAGGAAAGAGAAAATTATAAGCTAATGAAAACTTGGGTGGGCGAGTGACCTGTTCATAATAGACCCCCCGGGTCACCGGGCCAGGGGACTGTTTCCTGTCTCAGATACCTCTCTGAGCTGGGGGAAGCAAATGTTCAATTGCTTTAGCATTGGATGGTCAGAATTACAGCACAGAGGTGGGCCGAGGAGGTGGGAATTTCAGTTGGGCGGCAGGGATAACACTTAGTGGGTGTGAGGATGTGGAAAAAAGGGCTCGGTGACTTGAGGGACTGCCAGAGGTTCCAGTTCTGAAATAGGGAAAGGATGGAGAAATGATTGGTGTGTAGGAATGAGTCCGGTTCAAGGTCTGACTCAGTATGAAGTCCAACCACTTAGCCACTGGAGTTCAGAAGATCATAAAGAACCAGGCCTACTTGCGTCGCTGACTTGGTGATTTTGAATATATATGCTGGGCCCCAAGTGTGGGCAGGAGGTGAGGGAGTTGGTAGTTGGGGGTGGGGGAGGGGCACTGGTGTTTAAAGGAAAAAAAAAATTCCTTCCCTGGAATTTATATTGCCAGGCAAGGATTCTTCCCAAGAGAATCCAAGAGTCAGTTTCCTGGTAGTTGGATTAACAGCATTAAAGTAGCTCAAGAGGCAAAAAGAAGGCAATGTTAGGGCTGACACACCACACTCAGGTGGAAATCTGGAAATTAGGGACTTGGTACTCGATCCTCTGCCTGAGGCACGAGAAATGAGGACAGGAAATAAATTCTGTGATTGACTGCTTAGAAAACAGCTGAGAAGGGTTTTGAAAACGTTTCTGTCATAGGTTAGAGTGATAGCAGGGACAGTGTTTGCCAGGCACACCGCAGACCCGGGTTCAACCAGACCACGAGCCCCACCGGGAATGAGCCTGATTAGAACGAGCAAGGAGTAGTAAGCCCTGAGCACAGCCAAGTGTGGCTTCGCAACCAAAACAGAACAAAACACACTCAGTTCTCTGTGTGTAAACATGTTCTAACCTTAAAAATGAAAATGAGATTCTTAAAGTCCAATCTTCTCTTTTCACTCTTGGTGAGAGAACAAATGGGTGTTGGTATATTGTTTGGAGGGGAAATTAGAGTCTCTAGGAAAGTTGCATGTGCGTACTAGATCCTACGACGCAATTTCCACCATTTATCTTCTCTTAAAAAAAAACACTCAAGCTGCCAGAGATATGTTTGCAAAGATAATAATTCTATTTGGAAAATTTAATAGGATGCAGAAAAAATTCAGAAGATTATGCTTTTGGAATTCCATATATGGGATTGCATATGCGTCTGGTTTTATCATCATTTAAGTTAGACAAAAATGAATTTGAAGCACAAATAAATTGCAAATATTTATAAAACAATGTGTGTATATATGTATACATAAATGTATATGTGTATATGTATATATGTATGAATGTATATATGTGTGTGTGTATATATATATATATATATATATATATAACCTCTTGGAAAGTAATAGCATTTACATAGGAAGACTACAACCATACACATAGTGGTTGAATGGTGATGTGGTGGTTGGACAGGTATAGTTGATTGGCGAAAGTGCTGCTCTTATGATCAGCTGTGATTAAAGACCCCCCATCTATCCCCCCACACACACACACACTTGCCAAGACAGTGGGTCACAGAGGTTGACAGGAGCTCACTCAGGTAGTCCTTGGGCCCAGCTTGAGAAGAATATAACTTTAAAAGAGAGGAGGGTCCAGAAAGGTAGTTCAGTGTGTTGAGTGCCTGCTTTACAATCTGGAGATCTGACTGAGTCCCTGGTACTGCATCATCCCCATGACTGCTGGAGGTAATATCTAAACATAGAGCCACAGTACCCCTGAGCTCCACCAGCTGTGCCTCCACACACAAAATAACAGTAATAATAATAATAATCTAAAAAAACAGTACCAATAAAGAGTATAGTCTTTTTTTTTTTAATTTTTATTAGTGAGACACCATGAGGTACAGTTGTAGACTTACAGATTTTTGTGTTTGGGTTTCAATTATACAATGATCAAGTACCCATCTCTCCACCAGTGCCCATTCTCCACCATAACCACCACCCAGTATCCCTCCCACCCTCCATCTCGCCCATCCCACCCTGCCTCTATGGCAGGGCATTCCGTTTTGTTCTCTCCCTCTCCTTTTGGGTGCCGTGGTTTTCAAAGGAGACACTGAAGAGCATAGTCTTTTCACACTATGTATGAGCCTTGAGTGTTGTAACTGCACTGTCACTGTCACTGTCCTCCCCTTGTTCATCGATTTGCTCCAGCGGGCCCAGTAACGTCTCCATTGGAGACTTTGTTGTTACTGTGTTTGGCATATCGAATACATCACGGGTAGCTTGCCAGGCTCTGCCGTGCAGGCGAGATCCTCTCGGTAGCTTGCCGGGCTCTACGAGAGAGGCAGAGGAATCGAACTCGGGTCAGCCGTGTTGGCTGCGTGCAAGGCAAATGCCCTACCACTGTGCAGGTGTCACTAATTTTTTATTCATCCTATCCGTTTATCCACTCACTAGGCAAACATTTGTTGAGTGTGTCCTGTGTGTGAGATCCATGCAGGCCACTTGGGCTGTTCACTATTAACAGCCCAAGTGGATTTCACACCAGCAGTTCAAGTCCACCCACCCCATGGCCAGGGAGCTTGGGGGAAGGCTGTTGTGCACATTATCTTGTTGGGTTTTGAGGCACACCTGGCAGTGCTCGGGACTTACTTCTGACTTTGTGCTCATGAATCACTACTGGCAGTGCTCAAGTGAGCATATACTCTGCCAGGGATCTTCCTGGGGCTATGTGCAAGGGAAGAAGCTCACCTCAGTACTATCCCTCTGGTCCCAGGAGGGCTGATGTTTAAATGGATTCATACAAGTGCCCAGTCGAGAGTGATATTCCAGTGAAAGCAGAACTTGAGTTTTCTTTCTTTCCATGGATTTTTTTCATTTTAGTCTCATGGATTATTCGTAGAGTCTTGGGGTTTTGTTGTTGTTTGTTTTTTATGATTGGTGATGATTCTGAAACCTTCTAGCAAAAGGTAGCCTGGCTGTCAAAGGACATGGAACCTACAACTCCCAGTTTCTTTGGTTTACTCATGTGAACCAGATTGGTAAGCCTCTCCTTTACCATGGAAGAATCTCTTTAAGTCTGTGTTTCCCAAAGTGGGTGATAACAACCCCCACCCCTTCCCAGGGGGCTGGAAGGTTGAAGGAGGGCCCTTGGGTGCAATTGGAGATGGGTGCTTCTGTTTGCAGATGAAGGCAGATGTCCAGTGGGGAGAGGAATGATTTATTTTCTTAAAAGGCAACAGTAAGCCAAAAACTGCTATATATGAAATAAACATAACACAGGTAGGTCGGTTGATAGATGGATTTGTCCGCATTTTTGCCATCTACCAATGCTAATGTTTGTGTTTTCTCCCACAGAAAAAGCAAAGAACCAAAGATCTTTCTCGGGTATTTCATTCTTACAACCCATATGATCACAAGGTAAGAGAAACCCACTCATAATGTGCTGGGTAGCAAAAGTCTTGCTAATTTATACTTCTGAAAGTACCTTTCTCGGTGACACTTAATTGGCTTGTTTTCCAATTTCTGACCTTTTTAAGAATGTAGAAAATCTGTATTATTTACATAATTCTATTTTTCACATTAAAAATCTAATTACCTGTCACTGAGGTCCCAAGGACCCTCAGAAGACAGATGGGGGTTTTGGTTTGGGGTTATTTTCTTTTAGTTCGGTTGCTTTTTTTTTTTCTAAGTACATGGTTGTTGAAAATGTTGGTATATGAATTGCCACCTCTTGGTTCTTCCTTGCTTCTGACAGAAAGTTACATGTCTAACCTCAACAAAACCCCAAGGAGAAGCAGTATGAACATTATACTGGAAATACCCGCCAAGTGTCTAGAGCTAGAGACCTCCAGGCACTGCCTCCTAACTCCACTTCCTGATCAGTTTGATTCTTGGGGCTGGGAGGGGCCACTCTAAGGCTTGCTCACAGGTTTGGGAGTTAGCAGAGGTGCTCCTCGGCCACACAGCCCCAGGCAGTCAGTCTCCTATAGTGAGATGCTGCAGTGGGAGCAACACCTTCCTCCCGGGCCCCCACCCAAATGTGCTCAGGAAACCATGTGGTATGAAGGACTAATGGGGACCTCGCCTTGCAGGGCACGTGTCTAACCCTTTGCGCCATCTTCCATGTCCTCTTCTTGTTTCATTTGTTCCCCCCATATTCTGTTACTCTTGTTTGAAAAAGACTGGGTCCCTTTCACTCACAAGTTGTTTTTTTTACCATATTTTATTAGAAATTTAGGTCTCTCTCTCTCTCTCTCTCTCTCTCTCTCTCTCTCTCTCTCTCTCTCTCACACACACACACACACACACTTCTTTAATGTTTATGATCTTTAAATGTTTTTTATTTTTATAAAGCGGTTCACAATAATTTATTACATTCAATATTTCAACACCAGTCGTTACATCATTACACCTTCCCAGTTATTTTTTTTTAATTTTTTTTTAAGTTGAGGTAAAATGGTTACAATAGAGTTGATGTTTAAGGTTTGAGTCTACCACGCTAGTACACATCCACCTCCACCAAACTGCAAAAGACCCTATGGCACTTCTAATCTTCCCCTTCCCATATACCCCTTAACACCACCCACCACTCCACCCCCGGCTGCCACCTACCAGCCCCTGACCACCGCCACCCACCACCCCACTTTCAGGTGCCACACGTACACAAGCTTGATAGCCTCAGTTTTCTGGTTAAGAGTCTAAGGGTTTTACAGTGCTATTTTAAAAAATGCTTGACACCATATCACCCTTGCAAAACTTGGAAACGTCTGTGTCCCGTTAAGTTCCAGGCAGTCTCTTCATTTGAGGTGACTGCAGGTGTAAATGAAAAATACTTGCACAGTTGTAACGCTATTGCAAACTTACATCTTTACCTATGAAATTGTAAGGAGACGCCTGGTGGGGATTTTATAACAAGCCAAAATAGAGAATGTGAAACTGGTCTCCGTGGTTGACAATACACATAGCATCCGTATTCAGGAGTTAAAAAAATTGTCAGTTGTTGTTGGAAGTTGAAAGAAATCGAAACGCTTCTAATGTTTCAAGAGTGACAATCTGATTTCAACAACTATTTGTAAAAGAGGTGTCTGTGCTCAGTGTGACTGTGATGATATTCAGTCCTGGAAATGATACTCTTACATTTATCAAGTGAAATATCATTAGAACAGGACAATTTCTTTGAGAGACAGAGAGCACCCGGTGGGTCTCACTAAGCAGATGGAAATAGTACAGCAGCAAAAGCAATGAGGTGGACCAGATTTCTGATGGGAAAGTTGCTTTTTTTTTTTTTTTTTGATGAAACCATGTAATTAACATAAGTGCAACGGTGGCTAAAGTTACCACTTGACAACAGCAAGAGGAAAGGTTGTGACAAATCAAAGGTTTTGCCTGACTTGTCTAAATTTTGCCCACTTCTAACACTTTTCAATTCGCAGTTCAGGGAAATTCCATTATTCTTTTATTAGAACGTTTAATGGAACTTGGCCGCTTGCAGCCTCTACCTACTTCCTCTTCATATCCTTTGTGGCACTATATCAAAGTCACCTCCGATTATTTTGGCTTCCCTTGTGAAGACTTCATTCCTCTCCAAATTACTCATCAGGCAATGAAGGGCTGGAATCGAGAGGCTCACTGGAGTTGCTTTTCATCTTCGCTCTAGTATCAGTAATAAATTATTACAAGGAGCCTCCCTGTTTGATGAGTGGGTTTTGAAGCTCTGAGGTCTGGCCTGCTAGCTCTGTGCTGTGTTCTCTCTGTGCAGGGAAGGAAGGGGGAGAGTTTCCTCCTTGGAAGCTCCTGGTTCTCCCTTTCCTGGTGCTCCCACCAGGCGAGTCAACCACGTCATGTTAGTTTGTCTCTTGCTGACCTGTGTCTCCCCACTGTGTCGGTCAGAGCTGAATTTCCCATCTTAGAATGTAGCACTGTAGGACTGTCCTCCTGTTGTTCATCGATTTGCTCGAGTGGGCACCAGTAATGTCTCACAACAAATTGTGTCACAGGGAGCTTGCCAGGCTTTGCCATGAAGGGGAGATACTCTTGGTAGCTTGCCAGGCTCTCCAAGAGGGGCGGAGGAATTGAACCTGGGTCGGCCATGTCAACCACGTGCAAGGCAAACGCCTTACCCATTATCTTAGAATACTCCCATTAATAATAATAATAATAATAATAATAGCAGCTGGTGATTCTAGTTGCTTTTTTCTTTCACATACTTAATTACAAATACATCTGTTTGAGGACCACACCTGGCAGTGCTCAGGATTTACTCCTAACCTGACTATATGCTCAGGAATCACCTTTGGCAAACTCGGGGAACTATATGGGATGGGACGGGATCAAGGGTCAGCCACATGCAAGACAAGTGCCTACCCGCTCGCTGTACTATCTCTCCATCCCCTACCCAATTATAGTTCAACAAATAAGGTTTCTAGGCAGATGAGTTGTTATGCAAAAACACTTTCATAAAGTATTCTTATATAAAATGTGGTCACGCTTATGTTTACACTTATTTTACGCTTGTTTTAAACATCTTCTGTGCTGAAGGTAGACTCTAGACCGAACATGATGGCCACTTAATGCCTGTATTGCAAACCACAACATCCAAAGGGAGAGGGAGAGTAAAAAGGAATGCCCTGCCACAGAGGGCGAAGGGGGAGGGGAGCATTGAGGTGGGGATACTGGGAACATTGGTGGTGGAGAATGGGCAATGGTGGAGGGATGGGTACTTGATCATTGTATGACTAAAACATAAGCATGAAAGTTTGTAAGTCTGTAACTGTACCTCACAGTGATTCATTAAAAAAGTAGCACTGTAGCGCAGGCCTCCCATCGTTCATTGATTTGTTTGAGCAGTCACCAGTAATGTCTCCATTATGAGGCTTGTCATTACTGTGTTTGGCATATCAAATACGTCACGGGTAGCTTGCCAGACTTTGCCGTGCAAGTGCAATACTCTCGGTAGCTTGCCAGACCCTCCGAGAGGGGCGGAAGAATCCAACCTGGGTCAACCCTGGTCAGCTGCATGCAAGGCAAACGCCCTACCCGCTATGCTATGGTTCCAGCCCATTAAAAAAAAAAAGTAAATAGAATAAATATCTTAATGCTCATGAAGATTTCAGAAATAGTCCTTCCCGGGATATATATATATATATATATATATATATATATATGTGTGTGTGTGTGTGTGTGTATGTATATATATATGTATATATATAATAAAGAAAAACTTAAAGTATAAGCTGCCTGGGGGTTACTTTGAAAAACAATCCGCAAAGCGGTTAAGATTCGATAAAGGAAGATTCACCTGGTGCTGATGATTATTGGAAATGAAATGACTGGTGGGCTTTCGGGGGATAGGGGGCTGACCCGTCCTCTACACTCTTTTCCTATATGTAGGAAATCTCCCATAGCAAAAAAAAAAAAAAGAAAGAAAGATGCGAAAAGTCCAATAGCCCATGGTCCGCTCTTGGGCATGAAGGTGGAGTTGTCGCTAGTGTTCCTTTCACCTCATCCGTTCCTCCTTTCAGCCTCTCCCTCGAGCAAACTGCTACCAAAGAAAGAACACTCAGCATTTTGGCAACTATATTTTGCAGTGTGATACTTGTTCTAAAGTTGGCATGATTTCCCGCGACTTTATCCCAAATTATAGTGGGCCTCTTAAATGATAGCCTTGCCGCCTAGAAACTGTTAAAACAGTTGTAATTTCGACGGGCCGGGTGTCCTCCGGGAAGCAGGTCTGTTTGCTCTTCTCTCTGCCCACTCCAAGGTGGCTCCTGCCTGACCCCTCAACTCAGGAAGCCACCATGCTAAATACACGCACCGTTTGCGGCAGCCCAGGTGCCCGGCTTACTCAAGCTCTGGAGCTATTGTTTCGGTGGTAAATGGTCAGTTGGGTTTCTCTTAAATGCTGTTGCAAAAAGCAAATACAGCTTGAAGCAAAATGTGCCCTCAGAATGAGTCTTAAGGGGGGGAGAAAAAAACAAAAGAACTTATTGCTTACATACCAAAACCAGTTTTAGAGACTTCCAAGGGACTCTTGACAGCGCAAAACTGTCTTTGAATTATGGACACAGACTTGATTTTGGACTTCTCTCTGATACCAAGATCATTTCTGTATTCTCTTAATGGTTCTTCAGGGGTCCTTGTGAGTCAGGCTAAAGCAGAAAAGTTTGGCCAAAGTAATTCCCATTAAGTAGCAAGTAATCTGATTATCGGTTTTTTTTTTTTTTTTGCTTTGTTTTGCTTTTATGAGTCACACCCGGCGATGCTCAGGAGTTACTCCTGGCTCTGCACTCAGGAATCACTCCTGGCAGTCCTCAGAGGATCATATCGGATGCCGGGGATTGAACCTGGGTTGGTGGGGTGCACGGCAAGTGCCCTACCCACTGTACTATCACTCCAGCCCCCGCTGATTAACAAGACCT